CCCCTTGCCCGTGCTGGCCAGGCCAGCTCTCGGCGGGGCCACCGTTGACTTGTGGAGGTCCCGGCCCTGAGGACCCGCCGGCCCGGTACCTTGCATTTGAATGGCTTCACGGGCGAGTGTACAATCATGTGGGTCTTGAGGGTCTGCTTCTGCACAAAGGTCTTGAAGCAGATGTGGCACTGGTAGGGCCGGACGCTGGTATGGATCAGCATGTGCCGCTTCATGTTCGCCTGCAGGGTGAACTCTCGGCCACACACCTCGCACTTGAACTCCTTCACGCCCTGTGGGGACGAGGGTGATGGTCAGGGCAACTCTGTGGCCACAGCCTCTGGAGGGGACCCTTGGATGGTGCGGGGGTGGGGCGGACAAGTGTCAGGGCCACAGCATCAACAGGCGCAGATTCTGGTCCACATCTACGTGCACAGCTCAGCTAAATTTTTGATGTATTGTAGAGATGAGGTCTTGCCATGTTGCCCAGGCTGGTTTCGAACCTGAGGGCTCAGGCAATCCTCTCACCTCAGCCTCCCAAAGTGTGGGGATTACAGACGTGAGCCACCTCGTCTGGCTCTGGGAAACGTCTCTTTCTGGGGGTATTCCAAACAGGTAGCAGGGCTCGGTGGCTCAGCCTGTAATCTCGCGCCTTGGGAGGCTGAGGTGAGTGAATTGCCTGAGCCCATGGGTTCGAGACCCGCCTGGGCAACTCGGCGAGACCTCATCTCTACAGTAAATTAAAAATTAGCCGGGCGTGGTAGTGCGTGCCTGTAGTTCCAGCTACTTGGAAGGCTGAGGCAGTTACTTGGAAGGCTGAGGCGGAAGGATCGCCGGAGCCCAGCAGGTCGAGGCTGCGGTGGCCGGGAGCAGCTACTGTGCTCCAGTCTGGGCAACAGAGTGAGACTCCAACTCAAAAAAAAAAAACAAAACAAAAAAAACCCAAACAGGTACCACTGGAAGACTGTTGGGGCAGAGCCATTTACTCCAGGAAGCCTTGCAGGAACAGGCAGTACTATCCACACACCTGCTGTCTCCTGCTCCTCAAGGGTGGCTATGCATGTAGGTATGGACCAGTGCACTGAGGCAAATATGCACTCATTCATTCATTCAGCAGCCATTTACTAGGCACCTGCTATAAGCCAGCACCATGCTAGGCATCAGCGGCCTGCAGTCCAAAAGATGCAGTCTTTGCCTGGTGTCCTCAGGCTGTTTCATCATATCAAGGACAAGCATATATGTTTCTTTCCTCAATGCTGTCTCCTGGTGGCCTTTTTGGCCCACAGAACCCTTAGAGAATACGATCAACGCTATGGACATCCCAGGAAAAATGACACTGGGGTGTGTGTAGAATTTTGGAGGTTCTCAAACCCCCAGAGCCCACCCACTGACCTGAGAGAGTGTATCCCAAACCCCCCTGGTGGGAAGACCCACTTGCTGTCCTGGTCCAGCTTCTCAGGTCCCTCCCTGGAGACTCAGGTTCAGTGGGGTCTAGAATGAGCTCAGGAGTTTTTAATCTCAGTAGGGCCCCAGGTGATTCTTATCACTGATGGACTTTGGGACACTTGGCTCCAGGAGACACAGACTCCAGGGGAAAACTTCCTGGTTTGAAATGAGAACATGCTTTTCTCTGGTCTGCACGTGACTCAGCATGACAAGGGCTCCGATGTATTATCTATGGAGGAACACTAGGATAAAAGTTGGGAGCTGTTTTCTGTTTGCCAAGTAAGTAATTGAGCAGGCACCCACGGGACTGACGTGTTTCTGTGGTCACAGCTACCGTCTCAGCTGCTTGTTTGGTGCAAAGTTCTGTATTACAGTCTAATGGTTCCTGTGTCTATTTCTCTTCGCAACAGGGGTTGTCACGTGTTGTACACCCTCTTGACACATCGTACGTGTGTGACCACCAGGGGGCCCTGTCATTCAGGAGTTTATTTTATAAGCACGTGACGTGCACACTGTACAAATTTAAGCTGATGAAAGGGATGTTTTCAATCGTATTAGCCTTTGATTTTGCTTTCAGCTTTTCTTCACAGTATTATTTATCTTTTAACACTGTGTGGACTTGTGGGGATTTTCAAGTCCTTTAGTAGAGGGGAGAGATGGCAAATATATACATAGCATATGTGTTACCTCCCTTCACTCTTCACTCACGCTCCTAGCAGACATTAACAATCAATCACATGGCTTTACTGCTGAACCCAGATTGTTTCAGAATCCATCCTTTAAAATTTTTTTTTATTATTATTTTTTGAGTTGAAGTCTTACTCTGTTGCCCAGGCTGGAGCGCAGTGGCACGCTCATGGCTACCCCAGCATCGACCTGCTTGGCACTGGTGATCCTTTCACCTCAGCCTTCCAAGTAGCCAGAACTACAGGCATGGCACCACACCCAGCTAATTTTTTTATTTTATAGTAGAGACGAGGTCTCGCCAAGTTGCCCGGTCTGGTCTCGAACCCGCGGCCTCCCAAAATGCTGGGATTACAGGCTGAGCCACTGAGCCCGGCCAGAATTCATTTAAAAAAAAATTATTTTTTTTTCTTTGAGAGATGGAGTCTTGCCATGCTGCCTAGACTGGAGTTCAGTGACTATTCACAGACATCATTACAACCTTGAACTCCTGGCTCAAGCAATCCTCCTGCCTCAAGCAATCCTCCTGCCTCAAGCAATCCTCCTGCCTCATCCTCCTGAGCAGCTGGGGCCACAGACATGCACTGCAGTGTTCAGTTACAATCCTTCCTTTTTTAAATCTTTGAGTCAGGGTGTTACTCTCACCCAGGTTGGAGTGCAGTGGCACAATCATGGCTCACTGAAGCCTTGACGTCCTGGGATCAGGAGATCCTTCCACCTCAGTCTCCCAAGTAGCTGGGACTACAGGAGCATGCCACCACACCTGGCTCATTTTAAAATTTTTTGTAGAGATGAGATCTTGCTATGTTGTCCAGGTTGAACTCCTGGACTCAAGCAATCCTCCTGCCTTAGCCTCTCAAAGTGTTGGAATTATAGGTGTGAGCGATTAAGTCGGTTTTAGAATCCTTCTTAGCATTATGCTTTAGGCAGCTGCCAACAACTGACTGGAGGAGTCCACACGAGGAAACCTCCAAATTGCTATATTCTTGGCCCAGCAGGCTGTTGATACCTCACTCACTGTAGCATCCACTGGGAGAGATACGGTCACAGTCTGACCTGGAGTATCCCTGGGGCTGCTGTCATGGAGAGAGGAGACTTAAGCACAGTTAGCTTTGAAGAGTTAGGTTGGGTGTTGGTGGAAACCATTGGGCAGCCAAATACCCGAATGGGATCGTGGGACCCAAGAGTCCTCATTCCATCTGCCTGGATATGAGGGCCTCTCGGGGGAGGTGATGCTGGCCAAAAGACAGAGAGGCCAGTGGCTGCAGGCAGGGAGAGGAGACCAGGGGAGAATGGGTCATGGTGTGGTCTAGGAACGTATGAACAGTACTGTAAGATCTTCCACCTTCACAAACCACTCTGTCTAGTTTCATATTCTAGAACCACTTGATGGCTTCCATAACAAATAATTTTCCTTATGTTGATTCCCCTTGTAAAATTAAATGTGTTTAGCTTCTTCCTAAAAGGAAGTCATAGGTTTGATATACTTTTGTAATGATGAGGAGCAAAGGATACCCTTTGTAGGTCTGACCACAGAGTCAGGATACTTCTCTCTGGTACCCTGGTCTTGATCCTCCCATCTAGTAAACAGGGAGGTGATTCTCAAACTGTGACACTCAAACTGTGTTCCTTGAGTCCTGCAGGGGTTCTGCAAACATTTCATTCAAAAAATACGCATATATATA